TATTAATCAAGATTATACATCTTTTATTTTTTTATTTTTTTTATATATGAAAATTATGTGATATGACATCATTAAGATCATTATAACTTTTAGCCTCCAATAGTCAAAATGATTTTAATTATTTCAACTATTTTAGATATCTGAAATGATACATTTTGACTTCATATATAATAATCACATCCTATCTATAATCATTTAATTTTAATGTCTCAAAATTATAATATTTATATATACAGTAAACTCTTGATATAACGAATTCTACGATCTGGATATCAACTTCGTTATAAGCTTATAACGAATTTTTTAAAGAATTTAATTGGCTACTTCACTATAGTAAGGTAATTTTAATATATTTGATTTAAAAATTCGCTATATCAAGAGTTCGCTATATCAAGGTTTGACTGTATATTTATAATCACAATTATATGTTAATCACTATCATAGAAAAAAATTTTTTGTATATCAAATAACTAATAAATAAACTATTTATAATCACTTTTTATATGATATTAGTAATACTTCAAAATGATTTATATAAAATGATTATTATTTTTCAATTACATTTAGATATTATAATACAAAATGCACTTTAGTACTGAATAAAAATAGACACCATAATTAAGAAGTTGCAACTCAGTATGTTGTAACTTGAGTTGCAACTTGATTGCAACTCCTTGTAAATTTATTTTAATAGAAAAATTCATAAATAGTTGCAACTTAAAGTGTTGCAACTTAAGTTGCAACTAGTAAAAATAATTATAGGAACCATCTTTAGTGCTGAATAATTTTACTTAAACTTTGAGAGATATTTTATTTGACTAAGTAATGAAATTATATAAAATATAAAGTAGAGTTGTTTTTAGTGATTTACTTTTGAAAAATGTAAATAACTTTCTTTACGACTATCTAATCAATCTTTATAAACATTTATATATAAGTATTTTAACAATTTTACTTAGACTCTGAGAGTTGATTGTATTTAACTAAAGTAGTAAACTTATATTGTAAAATGTAAGGCAGAGTTATTTTTAGTGATTTAATTTTGAAAAATATATATAAGTATTTTAATATCTGCTGAACAACTTTATTTAGAGTAAAAGAAACAATTTTATTTAACTAAAATGATTAAATTATACTGTGAAGTATAAGGTAAAGTTATATAATATATAAAAAATAAATGAATTACTAACAATTTTATAAATATTTGCAGTTTCATAAATAATTCTACACTAGTATCTTGAATAATTATCCAAAAGTATTAGATTTCTTTTTAAAAAATATTGTATTAGAAGATATAAAACAAAAAAAAAACAATATAAATAAACAAATAATTTATTTTTTATTTTTTACAAATTAACATGATTAATTATTATTGATTAGTTAATTAGAGAATTGCCATGCAATAAAGATTATCAATTACATTTTTTAAATAAATTATTATAAAATAATTTTCAAATTTATTTATAATTACAATAATATAATTTTTATATTGCAGGTGATTATATATAGTTTATTATATATAATCACCCCTATTTATAATCACATAATTTTTAAAGAAGGAAAATTAATTGAAACACAATTTATATGTGACAATCGATTATGTTTTCTAATATTTTTTATAATAATTGATATAGATTAAATTAAAAACCTATTTATGATCCAATTGCATTTAAATCAATGTTGAAAATAGCTGATAAAGATTTAGTTGGATTTTTTAAAAATTAAAAGTGCGATTATAGACAGATTTAATTATATAATTATTATAGTTAATTATATCTTCAGTAATTAATTATTAATCTTGTAATTAATTTATAATTATGTTTTATGTAATCAATTATTAACTCTATAATTAATTTTATAATTATGTTTTTTAAAAAATAATAATTAATAATCATAATTATATATTACATATATACTAATTAAGATAATTATTTTCCAAGCATAATTACACTATTAAATTATTAAATTTTATAAATGAACTTAGGCTTCTGTTATAATTAAACTATTCTATTATTACTAAAGTAATTTTCTTGAAAATAAATAAATTTAGGAAGTTTTATTAAATATAATTTTAAATAAATTAGAATTCTTAATACTTATTAATTCAGAAAACTTTATTATAAAAGAGCATTAAGTAAAAATTATTAAAGATATTAATTATTCATTAAAGATTAATTATTTAAATGTTTTCTAAAATTATGAATTCTTATTCTTACTTGACTGATTTAATGTTTTAGTTTATCTAATCATAATTTAGATAACAATATAAAATAATTGATAATCTTTGTTTTATAATAGAATAATTACTTAATATATGAGATCTTTGTAATAAAAAAGGAGGAAACTATCAAACAATAAAATCTAAAAAAATAATTATTATTATTATTGTGATTAGTAATAGGTAGTTTTCTTCCTTTCTATAGCAAAGGAGACCTATATTACTTAAAATTGTAATTAAATTTAAAAAAAAAAAATATTTATTTTTTTTATTAATTAATATTTAGAAATTTACAATTGGTAAATATTAGATTTTTTGAATTTTTTTAAAATATTAGAGATAGTAAAAGAAAGAAAATTCAAATTTTGGTCAAAATTTATTTATTAAACTACTTGGTTAATCTTAATTATATATATAAATATATTTAATAATCAAAATTATTTAGATTCCTCCTTTTTTACTAACTCTAGATATATATATATTTAGATATCAAAACAATTAACTATTAAAAAAATTGACTTATAATGATAATTTTAAATAATTAATTTTTTATTACTCTGCAATTATTTTAGAAATTAAATAAAATTTCCAAATAATCCTTTTAATAATGCTATAAAAAATATTAAAATTATCGGATGGATTATTAATAAGAAATAATTTGATCTTAATATCATATGGGAACGTTGCCAGTAAAATCAAGTCACGAGATATAGTAAATCATATGGCTCTGATTTTTATTGCAATAAAAATTAAAATTTTAATAAACAATGCTCAGAGCCCCATCTTCCTAGCAAACCTCCCATATGATCCGTAATGTGATTTTACTGGCGACGCTCCCATATAGCCTCCCTCCGGTAGTATAATAATAATATATTTTTAAAAAACTTGTCACCTCTTACAAAAATAAATTCCTCAAAATAAACTTATTAAAATAATTTGAAGCCTCTAAATTTTAAAAAAAAAAAAAAAATTTCATACAACCGTATCTTAAAAAATTTCTGCCGCAGCATTTCGACAATCAATTTTGTTTAAAATCACGTGAAACCCAAAAATTATAATTTTCATTACATTACACAAAAAAAAAATTTTTTTAATATAAAAGATTCGTTCTTAAAGCATAAATCGGACAACCTTCTCAATCCATTGCTTGAAGGTAAATATCTTCGAAATACGTCAATTTTTGTAGAATAGAAATTGAATGGATAAAAATATTAATGGATGATACCAATTCAATTATTTTAAAATAATTTTTTGATTCATAATTTATTTTTTGTTTTATTTTATTTTATTTTTTTTTTTGTGGATATATTAATTAACTTCTTTTGATTTGAATAGTCCAAGAGTACAGGATAAATCCATGGGTGGTATGTATTAAATGTAATCAAAAAAAATATTTTGATTTAGATATATATCTAATATAAACTAATGTTGAATTGTTTCCAATAAAAAAAGCCTACAAATATCTCGAAGAACTTTACAAGAAGAAGCAATCTGATGTCCTTTGTTTCTTACATCGTGTAAGATGTTGGGAATACAGGTAGTCTATTTATTATATTCCTTCATCCTATCCATTTATCTATACATTTCTCAATGATCAGAAGAGAAAATATTGATTTGATTAATTCACATTTTGTGAATAATCAATTAAATTTTTTATTCTGATGATTCTCGAGAAATTATCTTTAGGCATGAAATAAAATGTTTCCATATTATGCGGGATATTAAAAAAAATTATATAATTATTATGGAACATTAAATATTTCATTGCCAATGAACAATTATAACATAAAAAATTATTAAAATATATATTATACATATCCCGCATATGGTATGTTCTTTTTTTATCCTGTCTCGAAAAAATATATACAACGAAAATCAAAAAAAAATCAAAAAAAAAATAGACAATTAAATGTCATTCATCGAGCATCTCGCCCATCTCGACCTGATAAAGCTCGTAGGTTGGGTTACAAGGTTGTGTTATATTTAATAGTTATTTATATTATTATTTAAGAATTATGGAAGATTAATTTATAAATCTCTCTGTATAGGCCAAACAAGGTTACGTTGTTTATAGAATCCGTGTTCGTCGTGGTGGCCGTAAGAGACCAGTACCAAAAGGTGCTACTTATGGTAAACCCGTAAACCAGGGTGTAAATCAACTTAAATATCAACGTTCTCTCAGAGCAACAGCCGAAGAACGTGTTGGTCGTAAATGTAGCAATTTACGTGTTTTAAATTCATACTGGATTAATCAGGTAATTTATGCTGAATTACGACATTTATATTTGCGTGAAATTTAATTAAAAGTTATTAAAAAACCTTTTTTTTTTTCTAATCAGGATTCTACTTATAAATACTTTGAAGTTATCCTTGTTGATCCTAATCATAAGGCTATTCGCCGCGATCCTAGAATTAGTTGGATCGTTTCTGCTAAACATAAACATCGTGAAGCTCGTGCTCTTACTAGTATCGGTAAGAAAAATCGTGGTATTGGAAAAGGCAGTCGTTACAACAAAACGAAAGGTGGTGGTCGTTATTCCAATTGGCGCAGACGCAACACACTTTCTCTTCGTCGTTATCGTTAAACAATTATATTATAATTACTTTGATATTGTTAAAGAAAAAAAATTTGTTTTGACTTAAATATTGAAATAAAAGTTTTTTATTAAGTGAAAGTTAATTTATTAAGTTCATAATAGATATTAATGAGTTATAGGAAGAAATGTAGGATTTATTTCCTGTTAAAGTTAAATTAACTTTATGTAAAACCATCAATTACTTTCTATACATGATATCTCTCCGCCAGTCCGATTCTTTGCACGACGTGTTTTGGTAAACAATAAACTGGATCAACCAGTTTCAAACCTGGGTACCCTAACAATGATAAACCTCATGAAAAAAAATGACATGTTAATATATTAAATGTCGTGATAACATTAATAATATTTTAAGATTATATATAATACCTGCAATCCCGAACAAGGTATGAAATACGTCCACCATATCTCCTGGTCTATCAGCAATGCCTCCACCCTCAGGATCCTGGATTAAATAACCATTTACCATAATATAATAAATAACAATAATAATATCCTGTAGTAATATGGAAGTACCTGAGCAGCCAACACAAATTCAATCAACTTTTCTTTATTTATCCAATGTAATCTACCCAGGATACTAAGCGCAGAAAGAACCCACCAGGAATAACATACCTAAAATATAAATAAGAAATCTTTAATCTTTCTTTTATTAATGAATTTGTATTAAAAATGAAATAACGTACATCTTCAAGTTTCTCTGGTCGCCCGTTTAATCCACCATTTTTCAATTGTCGTTCACAAAGCCACCATCCAAGTAAATCAGCATCGACTAAATGTAATGAGTTAACGATAGCAAGAGCGCCAATGCAACAAAAAACTTCAAAAAAAAGAATATGGTATTAAATATTTGTCCAAAAAAAAAGGAATCTTATTAAACTAAAAAAAAAAAAATTACTTTGACCCGCATGTGATTCTGCTCCAGGTGAACTACCAAATCCTCCATCAAAATTCTTACAAAGCATAATGAATTCAACAGCTTTTGAAACATTTACAGCATCTAAACGCTTCAATAGTGAAAGACAAGATAAAGCACCGTAGGAGAATCGAGTATCAATCTCTCCCCATTCATCTCCCCTAAAAGCTCCTGTCGCGCGATCTTGAAGAGACGCAACATCTAATAAATGTAATCGTTGTTATGCAAAGTAAATAAATAAGTAAAATATATATACCAAAACCATAGATTAACTCACATTCAATAATTTTATCCACATTTACAGCATCTAATGAATCTTCAATTACCAAAATTTGCACCGCATAGAGCGTATGCAATAAATGTGGGTCATGTCCGACATGTCCACCAAATCCACCTAGAATGTAAATGAAATATATCAGAAATGAAATTTCAAACAAACAAAAGACAATATACTAACAAGTCAGTTTTCAAAACGAGACTACCATTATCATGCTGACAAGAAATCACATACTTCACCACGTCTTCTTTCTTAAGTGTATCAACATTGTTTAACAAGTCCAAGGCTGTGAGACCCCAATAAACACCACTCAAACGCAAATGCTCCGTTAACCAGTATTCCAAGTCGTCTTTTTTCTTTATTTAATATTTCAAGTTTAATTAGAGTTCTAAATAAAAAGTTTCCATATATGATATAATTTACCGTGTCAAGTGATTGAATGTATTTCACATGTAAGTCAACTAAAAGATGAGTTTGTTTTTCCGAGGTCATACTTTTTAACAATAAGATTTATATGTATAAAATTGAAAGATTAATGAAAGTTTTTTTGTTATAATGATCAAAATTGGACTAGATAATCTATCAAATGCATAATTGTTATCCGATATTATTAATTTCTTTATCACTATCTAATAATCCCTAATCTACGAGAGAAATAATGATAATTAATTTAATAATTTAACCCTTAGTTTTGACAAATTTTTTATCATAGAAGAGGATTTTAATAAGTTTATCTATATAAGAGCTATAGTTTTGAAAGATATCATTGATATACCTATAATTTCTTTATATTTTTTATAACAATTTAAATATAATACGAATTTATAAAATATAATCTTTAATAACAGAAAAATGCAGAAAACTATTTATAATTACATATATATTTAATATATATATAGTTTTATATAATATATTATAATTTTTTATTCATAAATATATTATAGAAAGGTTATTCTTAAATAATTTATTGATAATATATTAAAAATTAATATATACTAAACTCAGTAAATTTACGAGATATTACATGACTAAAAGTTTTAAATTATATTTTATCAAAAGATATAAAATATTATAAACAAGTTCACAGTATAAATTTTTGTAAACTTACAAAATTCTTTTATTATCATAAGTTTACATAATATTATACTGTAATACACAATGTCATTGTGACGAAGTTCCATTACCCTCACTGATATTGTGAGTTCTTGATATACTCAAAATAAATATCAACTTTTATACTATATTAGAAAAGCTTCTGAGAGCTTCAGCTGACTAATTTATATATTGATTATATATATATAATAAATAAGTCTTACAAAAATAATATATCAGAAACTGTTTCTGCATTGGCTAGCTTATTAAATAGCATGATTTTACTTTAAGTCATACCAAATAAATCATACAGAAATTTTTTATTCTAATTCCTCCTATAATAAACTATATGAAAAAATAAGTCATATGAAAATTTGTACAAAAAATTTTGTCTAACTCCTCTATCATAAGTCATATGAAAAATTTATATTAGGAATTATATTTAATGACTCTCAGAGGTTAGGAAATATAATAAAGATTTTTTGTTCTAATTTTTCCATAATAAATCATACGAAAAAATTTTTGTCCTAATTCTTTCTTATAAATCATATAAAAAATATATAACAGGAATTATGTTTAGTGACTTTTAGAGGTTGGGAAATATAATAAAAAATATATTATATAAAATTTTGTCTTAATTTTTCCAATAAATCATATAAAAAAATATATATCAAGAATTATGTTTAACATCATCTAAAGATCAGAAAAATATAATAAAATATGTTATATGAAATTTTTGCCACAATTCCCTAATCATAAGTCATACAAAATATGTATATTAGAAATTATATTTAGTAACTTTTGATAGTTAAGAAATATAATAAAAAATATATCATATGAAATTTTGTTACAATTTTTCTTCAATAAATGAAAATCTATAATCGAAGAAAATTTAACAAAAATTTGCAATAAAATCATAATCCTAAATTCCTTATCAATAAATCTAACTTATCTCAATATATTAACCTATTATATTTCTGATTCTGATTTAAAACTTTAGTCTACAATCTATTATAGTATTGGATCATATAATATCCCTTAATATATGATGGATATTGTCTGTAAGCAGAAGCAGTCAGTTTATTGCAATCAGAGCAAGATACTCATTTTTTAACTTTTTAATAGAATCAACATCCTTCAGGTCTAATATAAGCTTTCTCACAAGTTTTTCAGAATTGTTAAGCACTAGTCGAAATCATTTCTTTTAGCACTAATATCTTTTGGTAAACATTCAGCCGATTCGGTCATGTGATTTGGCAAACATTCGGCTTAAGTTACAAAATTGATAGTAATTTGTTATATTACATATAATTTAGCATTATTTCAGTACTAATACTTTTTGGTAAACATTCAGCTGATTCGGTCATGTGATTTGGTAAAAATTTGGCCTAAGTTACAAAAATCAATAGTAATTTGTTACATTACACATAATTTAGCATTATTTCAGCATTAAGACCTTTCAGTTATAATATTCAGCCAAATTTCAGTTAGACTCAAGATTTGGCAACAAATCGACTATATCTCACTGGTCGAAATCTGTTGAGCCGATTTTTATGAAAATTATAAAAACATTCTAAGAGTAATCGTCCTAAAGAAATGATAAATTTGTCCCCAAAGAGACGATAGAAATTGTCTTAAAAGGAATGATATATTCGTTTTCAAAAAAGACGATAGAAATCGTTCCTAAAGGAACGAAATATCATCCCAAAGAGACAATAGAAATTGTCTCAAAAGAAACGAAATATCATCCCCAAAAGAGATGATAGAAATCGTCTCAAAAGGAACAATACATTCGTTCCAAAAGAAACGATAGAAATCGTCTTAAAAGGAACGAAATATCGTCTCAAAATGAATGATTCAATCGTTCCAAAAGAGACAATAGAAATTGTCTCAAAAGGAATGATACATTCATTCCAAAAGAGACGATAGAAATTGTCTTAAAAGGAACGATACATTCATTCCAAAAGAGACAATAGAAATTGTCTTAAAAGGAACGAAATATCGTCTCAAAAGGAATGATTTAATCGTTTCAAAAGAGACGATAGAAATCGTTTCAAAAGGAATAAAATATTATCTCAAAGAGACGATAGAAATTGTCTCAAAAGGAACGAAATATCATCCCAAAGAGACGATAGAAATCGTTCTTAAAAGAACGATTCATTATCGTTCCGAAGAACGATTTTTGACATCATTCTTTTGGAACGATACATCATCATTCTAAAAAAACGATGTTTTTTTTATTGTTCTTTCAGAATGATTCAGAAGAACGATTTTTTACATCATTCTTAAGGAATGATACATCATCGTTCTGAAAGAATGATGATTTTTTTATCGTTCTTTTGGAACGATTCATCATCGTTCTGAAAAAAACGATTTTTTACATCATTCTTATGGAATAATACGTCATATTTCCAAAAGAACAATGTTTTTTTATCGTTCTTAAGTAACGATTCCGAAGAACAATGATTTTTTTATTGTTCTTAAGGAACGATTCATTATCGTTCTGAAAAGAATAATTTTTTACATCGTTCTTAAGGAACAATACATCATCGTTCTGAAAGAATGATGTTTTTTTATCATTCTTAAGAAACGATACATCATCATTCCGAAAGAACAATGTTTTTTATCTTTCTTAAGGAATGATTCATCATCGTTCTTTCAGAACGATTTTCTATATTGTTCGTAAGGAACGATTAAACTATCATTCCTTTCGAACGATTTTCTATATCGTTCCAATCGAATGATGCAAAATCATCCATTTGTAGCATTTATAATAAATAGTATAAATAATTCAGTTTATAGTATAAAACTGATTAACTTTCAGAATATTCTGAAAAAATTTATTTATTTATTTTTTTTTTTCAGAAATTTAAACTTTTCCTTTCTTTTTTCTTTTTTTTTTTAGGAAATTCTTATTTTAAGGTAAGCGAATCAGAAGTGACTTTTGTGACATTTTCCTTTCTTTGTTCTTGTTTTTTAGAAATTCTTTATTTTGGATATTAAGGTAAGCAAATCGGAAGTAACTTTTAGATAGTTTTTAACTGGTTTTTCTTTATTTTTCTTTGTTTTTTTTAGGAAATTTCTCTTTTCGAAACTAAGGTAAGCCTTTCAGAGGTGACTTTTGGATGGTTTTTAACACTTTTTCTTTGTTTTTCTTTGATTTTTTAGGAAAATTCTCTTTTTTAAAATTAAGATAACCTTTCGAAAGTGATATTTTAGTGATTTTCTAACTGTTTTCTTTATTTTTTCTTTACTTTTTTTTAGGAATACATTAAGATAAGCCTTTCGCAGGTGATATTTTGGTGGTTTTCTAACTGTTTTCTTTATTTTTTCTTTACTTTCTTTAGGAATATATTAAGGTAAAAATTTCAGAGGTGATATTTTAGTGATTTTCTAACTGTTTTCTTTATTTTTTATCGTTAATTTGTAATATTTAAATTTTTTTAAATTAATTTTTTAATTTATTATATTAAGATTTTTAA